AAGTAAATGGCTTAAAATAATTTATTTTGTTCCCATTCTACCACAGAGGAGTTTGGAAAGTGCTTGGTTGGATGATTTGTAGCTGAAGGTGGTTATCAGCTCTGCCTTGTGAGCAGGACTATCTACTTTAGAATAGATTTTAACTTAATGTAGGTTTCTTTCAGGTTCTCAGATATGATCTCTCTCCACATAGTCTTATCCTCTAGGGCATGGACAAACTCCTTGTTTTTTCTTTTTAATAGTTTAAACTAATCAGTTTGCACATTTAGCATCTTTTCTCGATATCTCTTTTAGATATTAATTCATTCAAAGCATTTTCTATTTTCCATGTGGTCGTAGATATCAGATTCTGTGCACATTCCACCACAGCTGTCTCTCTGCTTGAAATCCAGTTTCTTCTCTCTCTTTCCACTCTTCCTGGAGCCCTTCCTGGCTTCTCTTGCTGCCCTATTGAGACTGCATTCCCCTTCTGATCCGCACACTCCATACAGGGAACCAGTAACAAATTCCTCTGAAACGTAATGAAGTAAAGCTCGTTTCTTCAAATGTTCAATTCAGAGATTAAGAGAGGTTTATTTGTGATTATATGGTGTTGGGTAAGACAACTGTGACTAAACCTTCACTTTCAAGATGGCCTTTTTACTTAAACATGTTGCACCTAGAGTCTCCCCTCCCTCCCCCCCACGTCTCTCCTTTTCTCTGCCACTCTATCTCTTTGACTTTGAGTGTCTTTTTCTCTCTTGCTGTCTGTATTTCCACATGACATCGTATCTTTCATGAGTGACTCCTTGAGTCTAAACTGGATCCTTTCTCCGGGGCCCGGCGATAGTACCTCCTACGATCTGGCAGCTCCCTTACGGCAGCCATCAGATGTCTCAAGGCAGCAGATGCCAACTTCCAGGACTCGTGCGGCATCATTTTGGTTGTATCCTGCTGTACAGTGCGGGTGCAGGATCTACTGAGACAAAAGGGTTAGATCAATAGAGGGAGCAACAATATTGCACTGCAGATAAATCTGTTTGAGAAAACACCACCTTGTTTGGAAAATATAATTTGTTACAATTATCATTTAAATACTTATATATTTGAACAAAATATTCAGACACATAAAGTAAAAAGTTGCTACTATAAATATTCTAAGAATTAAAATTTCCTAAGCAAATTGTGAAAATGGACTTATTATATTTAATGGAATTTTACCTTAGTATCACTCCTACAGGGTACTATAATAAAACCATGTTTTAATGTACAAATAAATAAAACCACTCATAATATTTTCAGTCAGTGCGAAAGTGGCCTTCCTATCATCCTCTAGTTTCCTAGACTGGCCTGCAAATTAAATTGACATAAGATTGATTAATATAGAGTATATTTAATTACATAAATAAGCCCAAGGGCCCCACAAAGTGTGAGCGTCAAAGAAGAATCAGATGATTGAAGTTTACACAGCATCCTGAATTACAGAAAAGAGTACAGCTTGGGGCTCTGCAGAAAGAAGTTGATATAAATTACAAGAAGAGGATGGGAGGAATTGAGTAGTGAGAAAAACCTGGGTAACTATGAGCATAGAAAAGATCTCGAGCTGTCCAGAGGCAGCCCTGGGAGGAACAGGTGATATTCTTTGCATTCCTTAGAGTAGGATTCTGAGCAAAGGAATTCTTGACGATTGATGAAGTTCTGGGACAGGTGATCCTCAGAGGCTCCATCTTCAGAAGGCAAAGGTAAGGTCAGAGAAGGGCTGCTCACCTTGCTGATCACAAGCAGCCTCACCTGGAAGTGATCAGCAGACAAGAGTCATTTCTGAAACTCCTTCATAATAGAATAGAAGAATTTGTACACAGCAAATAGGGGTGGGAATTTGTTAACAAAATGATCCAGTAAGAAACAATCAGATTGTTTATAGTTTTTTCCCATTAACCAATGTACAGAGGCCTGGGTTCATGATGTGTTACCTCCAATAAACTCATCATAACTTGACTTGGTCAAAAGTTAAAAATGCATTTTATGTACATGAAGTTTATCAGGTATTTACCCTGGTGATTGTGCAGCTAGTTGGGAGCTCTGGCCTGATGTTGCTGCCAGTGTTGAAAGAAGGAATCATATGGTATTTTGGTAGCTGGGAAAATCATGATTATGATTTGAATAGTGAATTCTGTTGAATGTGCATACTTTTATACAGTTGAAAAGTTGTAAGTTGATCCATTAAAGGTTGGGGTCATCTTGTTTTCCACATTTTTTGTCATTTTATTTATTTTTATTAGTACGTATTTGCACTAGATAATAATTATATTTAATGTGGGAAGTTGGTATGTTTGTAACAAATGTATTAATTCTGTTTTGTCCCTTTCCCATCTCATCTATTCCTATTCCCTACAGCTCTTGACCACCCTTCCTATCTGAAAAAGCTCCTGTTTTGTTCTCAATTCTCTCCTTTTTTTTTTTAGTACCAGGTATGGAACAACTTGGGTCTTTGCACTTGCGAGGCAGATGGCAGAACCACTGAGCTAAATCCCCAGCCTTCTCTTTCTTAAAATCTATTTTTTCTTCCATTTCCCCTCTACTCCATCTGTTTTTTCCTCTCCCCATTTGCAAATGAATTTGTGAATAGAATAAAAGCAGAACTGCTAACCCATTTCATATCATTATGGAAATCATAATTTTGTGAATGAAATTCTGCATTGCTATTTGAATAATAATCCATTAGATTTACCTAATTTAAGAAGAAAGTTGAATGCTTTTGTAGTTAGAAAGTGCTCTTTATGGGATATATATTAATTTTCCTTAAGACATAGTCCTACTGACAGGTAAAGTATTCATTTTCGTGCATCCATAGCTAAGTTTTGTACATATTTTACCTTTGCCTTTCAGTGTAAAAGCTATTTCAGCAGTTTTGTTAGTTTCACATTTTCATTGATCTTAGTCATAATCTATCATCACAATATGAGGTCACAGCAGCTAATTAATATTACAAGGCTACTTTCTTATTTAAATACTGTATTATTTAAATTTTTTTATTTATATTTTCTGTGTTTTACAAATACAATTATTCAGTTGCAGTTCCATTTATAATTCTGCAGCTTAATAAAAATCAGCATATGAAATACTAGAGAAAGTCGCATGCACAAAATATAATAGAATAAGCAAGCAATCATTAAATATCAACCCTTTAAAGTTTCACTCAAAATGTTCCTAAGAAAACCATAAAAACAAGATAAATTCAATTTCCTTTCCTAGGCACTACTGTGTTCCAGGTAATTCACAAGGGAATATGGTGATTTAATTGTCTGGATGGCGCAGTAAGAGACCCTCTGAAGTCAGGCTGAAGTCTGCACTGTAGTATCAAGATTCCCTTTCACACAAACACACACATTCTCTGGATACTCAGCGTGATATCCAGTAAGCACAGATATGAAAAGCTAACGAAGAAAGAATGCTTGTTATTTATTATTCAGTACTCTCCTGGGGTTTCTTGCCACTTGGAGTTAACATGCTTTTGTATGAAATATTTAACACTCAACAGTTCCTTCTTAGTACAACCAAATCAAACCATGTACATAAATTAGAAAAAGCAGGATTAAAAGCTTGGATTTTTTTTTTTTTCTATTTTAAATGCTGTGATGAAAAGGTGGCTCACAAAGGTTTTGTGCCTAATTCCTTTTTATCTTGAAATAACACGAGGGTCCCTCTGCAGGAAGTTTTGCAGCCAATGGGCAAGGCACGTCTGCTATGACGGGGACCTTCGTATTCCCCAAAGGTGCATGAGTCAACGGCTTTGTCCTCAGACTCACAACGCTATTGGGTTGGGTTGGGAAAGTTTAAGAGTGGTGGCACAGTAGAAGGTGTTTATGTTGCTGAGGGAATTGCGGAGTGCTGTCACTTTCTCTTTCTGTTCCTGTCCAGAGAGGAGTGGCTTTGTACTGCCACACACACTGCCTCCACCTATGCTGTCCCTACAGGTCTGAAAGAACTAGGACCACCTGAACACACATTGAAACCTCTAAAACAATGAGCCACAGTAATCATTTTCTTTTATAAGTTGATATTCTCATAATTTTTGTAGTAATGGAAAACTAATAGAGGCACGTTTTTCATAGTGTCAAAATATCTTCAGCCAAACAAATGTCCATGATCACCATTTTTCGCTTTGTTACCATAGTGCTTCTTTACCCTTTATATATACATAGGTACTTAAAATATAAGCAACCTAGATGCACAGATACATGAATATATAAATTACTTAGACATACAGTACTTAGATACACAAAGTACAACAGCAAGCAGGAAAGAAAACACTAACACAGTGTTTCAAACAAGACATGAGGAAGTGTTCTTGAAGTGCATGTCTGAGGGCAGAGAGCTTTTCAGAACTCGAAGGAAATGTCTTTACTTTCAGTGGGTGAGTTGAAAGGAGTATGAGTTCAAATTAGAATTATTATTATTTTTTTTCCTGGTACCAGGGATCAAACTCTGGTCCTTGTGCGTGCGAGGTAGGCAGCGGAACCACTGAGCCAAATCCCTGGCCCTTAGAATTCACTGTTTTCATTCTGTCAAAAGATAAATTATTCCCAAATTAATTTAAAGATCTGATTGCCTTTTATTTACAGTTTGAGAGTCATACTGCCGAACACCAGGGATGTTTCATGAGCCTCATAGGGAAGTCTGCTTTATAAACAGAAAAGGGCTGTAAAGCAGACACAGGCAACAAAAACCTGGTCATTTCAACACTGCTTCTTTTGGAGGGCTAGACTGGAGGAGACTTTCTATTTTGCTGACTTCTTGTAGACTAGAATCCCCTGGGAAGTCTGGGAAAACTGGTCTGTTTCAAAGTTCACTTTGCTTATGCGAAACCTGCTGAGACGCAGGATTCTGTCGCGGTTTGTTCTTTTAACCTCATTACTCAAAACAGAAAATACATTTTTATTGGCTGCTGAATTCGCTTTCTATTGTGAGGTAAGATATTACCAGAAATTCCACGGCGATGCACTGATTATCACATGACCGGCGTCAAGGTGTGGCTCAGTCCATTCCTCTGTTCATGGCTTCATGAGGCCACAGTGATGATATCGGTAACCCTGAATTTCCAACAGGGCTTTGACTGGGGAAATGAGTCTTCCAACCTGCCTCAGATTGCTGGTGTAACTTATGTCCTTGTTTCTGAATAATTTACACTGTCTTGCTTCACTGAGGCCAGAAGGGAAGTGAGTCTTTGATCTCAAGGAGATAACCAGTCATTGTTTTAAGGGCTTTAACCTGTTTATGGCAGGCCCAACTAAATAATCTCCTTTGATAAATTCAGAATCGAGTGATTCAGGATCTTAACTATATTTGTAAAATGCCATTATCTTCAATGGATTCTGTTGACTACCAGCAAGTTAGGCTGTGCTTCTCTCAAAAACGAAGGATTATGCAAAGTGGTAAGTCCTTAGGTGGTCTCCTCTGGGAACATGTGCTAGAGATAATTTAAGAGAAACTATTTTCCTGACCAAATAAATGTAGAAAACAAATGCTTATAGAGCCATTTTCCTCTATTGCAAATCTGTGGGCTTTGCCAGGTGTGCTGGTGCATACTTGTAATCCCAGAACTCTGGAAGGCCTAGGCAGGAGTTATGAGTTAGAGGAAGTCTGGGAAACTCAGCAAGGCCTATTTTTTAATAAATCAATAAACAAATAAATAAATAAACAAAAATGAGTAGGATATGTAGCTCCATGAGAAGGCCCTGGGTCCCATCTTTAGTTTGGCAAAGAGGAAGAAAATCTATGGGCTTAGTATTTTGTTTCAGTCAAAAATTATAAATATAAGGTAAAAAAAAAAGTGATGATATATCACATGACACATTTATCTTCACTTATAATTAAATATTTTAAGAAGTGTATACAGAATTAATGACTAAAGGCTATTAACTATATTTCTTCTGATATGTTTAATAACAAGAATATTAACAAGTGCCAGAACACAGGTGACAAAATAGCAACAATAGCGATGAAGATGAAAATCAAAACATTTGCATCTGTGTCCTTACATATTACTGACTATGACAAACTTGCAAACTTGCAGCAGCATAGTCTTTGCCCTCTTTGTCTTTTTTTCTCTTTTTGCCTACTTCTTCCCACCACCTGCATTGGCTATAGCCCACCTTCCCTTCTCCTTTCACCTTGTTGGGCCATTTCTGTGTCCTTATTGAAAACAGTGCATCTAAGAAGGAGGCTCTGTTCTGCTCTTTGCACCCAAATCCTACCTCTTCTTCAAGTTTGGATCATCCTAGGAAGCCCTTCAGAGAAAATTATTTCTTCTGAATTCTCACTGTTCCCAGTTGCAGTGTCACTTGTGCGCTTTTACATTTTTATCCGAGCTATGTGTTTACCTAAAGGTGAAGGTACAAGACATACTAATTTCTGAGACATAATATCAACTCAATTAATTACAGTAAAATATGTGTGTGTGCTTCTTCCGTATTACTAGCTAAAATTTTTTTTCTCATTGAGTTTTATTGGTACATTTTAGGTAAACAGTACAGTTACATTCATCATTGGGATCGTGCACCTCTACATGACAGGTCTTGGCTTTCATTTTTTCCCCTTGTCCCTGCCCTCCCTAGGTTAATTTTTTTGAGGAAGAAATTTTTTGATTTCATGGCACTTTCACATTTCCATATAAAATATATAATGCATGCAAGAAAAAGATTGATCTTTTGGGTTGAAAAGTACTGCACTGTGTGTCATAATATTTTAAATTAGTATATTTTATTCATCTTTATTATAAATACATTTTGTAGGAAGGAGAACTCTACACTATTAGCTGGTCTTCAAAGTCATAGGGTAAAAGCTATCATAGATCAGCATAATCAATAATTATTTTCTACAATCTCTGGCAGTGATTTATCATTGCTTCTTTAAAACATAAAATGCCTTTACATTAAATACTTTAAAATATTTTTTAAAAATAACTTGGAATTTAAAAATTATTTTGTTTGAATTACCTTTTCCTGTTGTCATACTAGTAGTAGTACAAATGAGGAATATATGAAACCCCATTAAATTATTTTGCTGATATGGCTTAATTGTGGGCTTTACTAAATATTCTCTACATTTATTTTCTTTTTAACATTTTATTTTATATTTTATTGAGATGAATGCTTTATGATATTTTAGTGTGTTATAATTTAGTACTTTTTTTCATCTTTTGGGTATTCACCATTGTTAAAAGACAAAATTCACAGTGTTAAAAAAAGCTAACCTTGCTTGTGTGTGTGTGTGTGTGCGTATGTGAGTGTGTGTAATCTATTTTGCCCCTTTTTACTTTCATATCAACCAAGCAAAAATAGACAAAGAAGGAAACAAACAAACAAAAACAAAGAAAAAGTAAAATGAACCCAAAAGATTTTTCAGCACTGAAATGTTTGATAAGTGTGCCCCCCCCAACCCCAAGGGAATGTGGAATCCACCAGATGTGGGGAAGGGATACGAGTCACAAGTAGGTCCTATTGTGTTTCCACATCTATTTTTTTACTATGTCAATGCTAAGTCTTGTCCCACCTTTCCCACTGGGCTGGGTCAGTCAGTGGTGTGTTGCGTAATTCAGAGCTGTAATCATGCCAGTGACTTTTAGTGTTTGTGCCCTTCTGTGTGCTCCAGTCCCCTGCTATCCATGCCTAGCTTTGTGGCCTGTGGCTAGTGGTGTGCCCCACTTATTCCAAGAGCCCTTCTGTCCATACACCCTGTGATGTGACAATTGTTCAAGACAAGGCATATCCCTCATTAAGCTGGCAAATGGAGAAAATAATTACATCCCCAAGTTCAACTCTGGAAATAGGCAGTATGGAGCCCAAGCAGTCCACTGAACATGATTCTAGTATGTTCATACCCGGGCCTTAGAAATCCACAATGGACAAGCCTGGCTTTGCCCAACAGAAGATAGGACCATTGTGTCTTCCATAGCCTGAACTCACCACTGCTTAAACTTTTAAGGGTTCTATGATTCATCTGTCTCCTCTCTGCAACCGTTTCTTGTGGCTATCTCCCATCTAATCATTGTGATGGAGTGACATCAGAGACATTGAAGTGTGGTGGTTCTGTGACTTCTTATTCCTGGAATGTTTCAGTTTTAAACATCAAATCCCTTTTCCAAATGGCTCCTGATGATAGAACTCCTACATATGGTGTCCACTGTAATTCATTTTTTATTTCCAACTCAAGCCTGCCAAATGGAAAGAGACACTCTCAGAGTAAATCTTGCACTCTATTAGTAACTTACAATAACCATAAGTTTTTCTTGGAACTAGTGCTACCAGTCCTTTGTTTGTCCCTGTGACTGCCAACCCTCCCTGGGCTTACCACGTGTGTGCAGAGCCAGGTCTCCCTCCCTGGGAACAGTGGTTATTGTTTCAGATTGCTGTGTTTCTTTTCTATGCAAAATCTTCAGTTTCTGTGTGATTTCTAGCTTTCCTCTAAGATCTTACTTGACTCTCAGAATTCCTCTTGTCTTTCTCTCCACTAAGTTGTTTTCCAGGTGTCTGGATTCCAGGTCATGGAGAGCCTGTGATTTGCTGACAGCTTTTTCTCCAATATCTCTTCTCTTTTCCATTTAACTTTTATATTAGTCTTTGAATGGGACTTCACTGCAGACTTTTTGCCTCTATAGCTTGTCACCTAAGGAAATTTTCTATTTTTGTTTGTATTTTTTTGGTGTTTTTGTTACTTATTATTCCTGAAGGAGAAATATGATAGACTGATTACATTTCCCTGCTAAACCAATCTTTACTCTCTAATCCAACTGGTTTCTAACACTATTTTTTTTTTTTTTGTACTAGGGATTAAACTCAGGTCCTTGTGCTTGTGAGGCAGGTATCAGAACCACTGAGTTTAATCTCCAGCCCCTAACACTAATTTTTTGAACTAAACTTACTTTCAAACTAGAATATACTTACTCTTCAACATTCAGGATTACTGGTTCATAATTTATTGCATTCATTTTCATCTTTACCTCTTCTATTTTATAGTTTTTATCTCCCAGTATTTTTTCATGATTTAATTTTTTACCAATATCATATATCATTCTAATCCTTTAAAAATGCTTCTTTGATTATGGCCAATTTTCTATTATTCCCACATTTTCCTTAGCTCACTTCAATACCTGGAGTAGTCAGCCAATTAAAAAATATAAAGCTGTCAGAGCTGGTTTTCTTCAGCAGGCAAAATCTGCCAAGTTTCCTTCGATTTAAAAAATTACTAACATTTTTTTTTCGAGTGCATAGCATTAACTTTTTGCTCAAGTATAATTTTTCTTGGTGAAGTACATTCTATTGGAATCATTATTCTGGAGAAGATGTATTTCTGTGGTGTAGTAACAATCATGCTGTTGAAAATGTCTTTTTATTAAAGGACTAACATCTTATTAACAATAAAACTTTACTTTTTAATGTTGGTCTGAATTCAGAATATTAATGACTTCATAAACACTTCCAATAAATAACATATGTTATGAATTATAAAAAAATCTCTTTAGAACATTTCTATAAGACATGCCAAAACATAAATAATAAGCACTGAAAAATGCTAATAATCAACAAATATTTGTTCACTGTCGGCAAAATCTTTTTTTTTTCTTTTTACTGAGTTTATTGGTACATTCTAGGTATACAGTACAGTTATATTCATCATTGGGATCTTGTACCTCTACATGACAGGTCTTGGTTCTCATTTTTTCCCCTTGTGGCAAAATCTTTTCAAGTCGTGAGAAAATCTACTATCAAAAAATATTGATCTACTGACTCAATAGGAATCCTCTACTCTCATGTGAATTTTATTTTATGTAGGTAAGAATAGCATATAAATGATTACAGAGATAAATAAAATGTGTAGTGGGCCAAATCTTCAGAAAAAATAAGAAAAGATGAAGCCCGGAGGGATTAATACAAAGTTCTTAGTAAATATCCAAGACAGTTGAAATTTATAATTTTAAATGCAGCACACTTTGAGAAAATGAAGCTTCCATAACCTAAAGGAAGTGAGGGAGAATCCACCAGGATATACCTGGAAATGACGTTGCAATCAGAGGGATAAGCAAATAAAAAGCCCAGAAACTGGACTATATGTTCAATGAACAAGGAGGCCAGTGTGTGGAGAGCAGTATGTATGAGAGGGTAAATAGAAAATGTGATTAGGTAGATAATGCTGGCCACATAAGTGAATCCTAAGACATCACTGTAAGTACCTTGGGCTGAACTCCTAAATGAGATTTAAAGGTACCTCAGGTCTGCTATAGAGAGACGGAATAATTAAGCTTTATTTGTTTCAAAACAGCGTATTTTTCCTCATTGTTTCATAGGTTATACTAAACAAGATTACACCTCTAAGAATTATAATTAATTTTCCATATTTTGCAATTTATATAAATGAAAACTTGCATACTCTATGT